GTCAAAAAACACTTCTTGTCTCATAATATGCATTTATTTTTACCTAAATATCACAGTGGCTCCCATATGATTCGTTCAGTGATTCATTTGTTCCCAAACCCCTCCTTAGCGCAAAGCTAATCTGAGGTTATAGGACCGATGAACCAGTCTATTGCGATTGGTCGACTGCGTTCAGCACAAGACAAACAGAAATGCCCACCACGGCTACAGTATGAAGTAGAAGTGCAGAATGTATGTGAGAGCCCAATGCAGGAATGCAATGAAGCAATGCCATTAAACACTAGCATATTACTCTCCTCTTAACCCTAACCCTAATAATAAAAATGACACATATTCAGTATTAACTATTTTGAACATTAACCACGCCGCACGTGTGAGGAACAGCTGATGTTGGCCATAGCAAAGGCAAACGCATTTAAGTCGGTAAAGGTGGAAGCAGGCATCACGTTTTCAACATGGTTTTGGACACGATATGTGAGCAGCCTCATACAGATTTAACCTGAGAGATACAGTACAAGCATTGATCTATAATCGATAAGTGGTTACAAGCACGGATCTATAATCAATAAGTGATTACAAGCACTGATCTATAATCGATGAGTGATTACAAGCACTGATCTATAATCGATAAGAGATTACAAGCACAGATCTATAATCGATAAGAGATTACAAGCACTGATCTATAATCGATGACTGATTACAAGCACTGATCTATAATCGATAAGAGATTACAAGCACGGATCTATAATCGATAAGAGATTACAAGCACTGATCTATAATCGATGACTGATTACAAGCACTGATCTATAATCGATAAGAGATTACAAGCACGGATCTATAATCGATAAGAGATTACAAGCACAGATCTATAATCGATAAGAGATTACAAGCACTGATCTATAATCGATGACTGATTACAAGCACTGATCTATAATCGATAAGAGATTACAAGCACGGATCTATAATCGATAAGAGATTACAAAAACTGATCTATAATCAATGAGTGATTACAAGCACTGATCTATAATCGATAAGAGATTACAAGCACGGATCTATAATCGATAAGAGATTACAAGCACAGATCTATAATCGATAAGAGATTACAAGCACAGATCTATAATCGATAAGAGATTACAAGCACAGATCTATAATCGATAAGGGATTACAAGCACGGATCTATAATCGATAAGAGATTACAAGCACAGATCTATAATCGATAAGTGATTACAAGCACTGATCTATAATCGTTAAGAGATTACAAGCACTGATCTATAATCGTTAAGAGATTACAAGCACAGATCTATAATCAATAAGTGATTACAAGCATGGATCTATAATCGATAAGTGATTACAAGCATGGATCTATAATTGATAAGAGATTACAAGCATGGATCTATAATCGATAAGTGATTACAAGCACAGATCTATAATCGATAAGTGATTACAAGCACGGATCTATAATCGATAAGTGATTACAAGCATGGATCTATAATCGATAAGTGATTACAAGCACTGAACTATAATCGTTAAGAGATTACAAGCACAGATCTATAATCAATAAGTGATTACAAGCATGGATCTATAATCGATAAGTGATTACAAGCATGGATCTATAATTGATAAGAGATTACAAGCATGGATCTATAATCGATAAGTGATTACAAGCACAGATCTATAATCGATAAGTGATTACAAGCACGGATCTATAATCGATAAGTGATTACAAGCATGGATCTATAATCGATAAGTGATTACAAGCACGGATCTATAATCAATAAGTGATTATAAGCACGGATCTATAACCGATAAGTGATTACAAGCACTGATCTATAATCGATAAGTGATTACAAGCACGGATCTATAACCAATAAGTGATTACAAGCATGGATCTATAACCAATAAGTGATTACAAGCACGGATCTATAACCGATAAGTGATTACAAGCACGGATCTATAATCGATAAGTGATTACAAGCACGGATCTATAATCGATGAGTGATTACAAGCACAGATCTATAATCAATGAGTGATTACAAGCACAGATCTATAATCGATAAGTGATTACAAGCACGGATCTATGGCAGATAAGTGATTACAAGCACGGATCTATAATCGATAAGTGATTACAAGCACAGATCTATAATCGATGAGTGATTACAAGCACAGATCTATAATCGATAAGTGATTACAAGCACGGATCTATAATCGATGAGTGATTACAAGCACGGATCTATAATCGATAAGAGACTACAAGCACGGATCTATAATTGATAAGAGATTACAAGCACTGATCTATAATCGATAAGAGATTACAAGCTCTGATCTATAATCAAAAAGTTATTACAGGCCACACAGGGTGATTACAACTTACAACACACAATTAAACACATATTTTGCAAATTACACAAAACGAGGCAACAATTTTAATGACACTTACATGTTCTGACACTTACATGTTCTGGAAGAGGAAACTGGTCCATATGAACTGTAAAAGCTACTGACAAAGTCCCATAGTCTCTGCTGCTTCTTCAATAGCACACGGTCGGTAAATCCCGCACTGCAGTGTATGTTTTTGTATCAAAAATAAAAATAAAAAATGACAGGAACAAACACAGCACACGGTTGGCTATACTGTGGTGTTATTGTGAAAATGAACTTTAACCCTTTATTCCCCACAGCCGAATCTCCATCTGTCAGTGATCATCATCTTCACGTCATGATCAATCCCGTGATCCCCCGCGCCTCCGCTAGTGTGTTGAGTAAAAGCACGTGCATGTTTTAACAGAACTGGAAGTACATATTTGGTGATGTACCGTATCGGCGTTGATGCGATCAAACAAAAGATCAGAGCCCAATTCAATTCATTTATGTCATGATTGTCAGTGACCACCTGAGGGCGCTGTAGTTCAACGGACTCTGAGAGTGAACTACAGCGCCCAAGAACTACAAGTCCATACATACCACGTGCATTACACCCGGTTCACTTACACTGATTGGCCATCACAGCTGTTCCTGTTGATTTCCTGGACTATTTATACAACTATTCCACCTCTGTTTGTTACTGCGTCGTTTGTCTTTCTTGTCTCCGTGATCTAGCAAGTCTTGTATACCGAGTTTGTGATTCCTGAGCCTTGTTTCTGATTTATGTTTCTTGTTTTGAGGTTTATTTGTTACTTTGCACTTTGGACACCTTGTTTTTCTGTTTGATGCACAATCGTAATAAATCTGCACTTGGATCCGCACCTTTTGTTTTCGTTTCAATCCGTAACGTGACAGTTTATTCGACTCTGAGTCGGCTATTTCGCTACAGCGTCTATAGTTTTACACATGCTGCACAGATATAAACCTCAGCTGGATGTATTAATTCTCTCAGGTCTTTGTTACACACTGCATGAAGATCATTTTCAAATATCCATAATAGGGGCTCTTTAAGGTTAATATTATTAGCCCCCTTAAGCAATATTTGTTTTGGATAGTCTACAGAACAAACCACTGTTGTACAATGACTTGCCTAATGACCCTAACTTTACCCTAATTAACCTAGTTAAGCCTTTAAATGTCACTTTAAGCTGAATACTAGTATCTATGTACTGTATCTAGTAACTATGTCTATCCTGTTCTCCCCGTGTTGGCGTGGGTTTTCTCCGGGTGCTCCGCTTTCCCCCACAGCCCAAACACATGTACTATAGGGGAATTGGGTAAGCTGAATTGTCCGTAGTGTATGTGTGTGAATGAGTGTGTATGGGTGTTTCCCAGTGATGGGTTGCAGCTAGAAGGGCATCTACTGTGTAAAACATATGCTGGATAAGTTGCCGGTTCATTCCGCTGTGGTGACCCCAGATTAATAAAGGCGAAAAGAAATGAATGAATGAATGTTTAGAAATGTTCAGAGGTAAATCTTCTCTCTGTTGAACAGAAATTCGGGACAAAATACAAAAGAAATTCAAATTTAACAGGAGGGCTGTTTTTGCATGTCATTTTACATTTTATTATTTGAATAATTAATTTGTTTATATATTGTTTTGCAATAAATTATTTTAGGAATACATTTAATTAAAAGATACAAACACAGGCTCATTCTGAAAACGTAGCCCTGTATACATTTCTGGAGAGCACGAATTATGTACCCAGAGGTATGTATGGCTGCATTTCGTCTTTATAAAAACTCTTCGGGGCGATATGATGTTGTTTCTTTTTACGCTACCAGCTGACCACTTACCTCCGTATGGACGGCTTTCCTGCTGTTACCAGTTTGACCAGTGGCTCGCCACGTACGACAGCAGACTTGAGACACAGAGAGAAGTTTATCACATTGATGGGGTTCGAGTCTGGCAAAGAACGGTTTCAGAAAGCATATAAGACAAAAACAGAAGCCAAAAAGTAAAATAAACAAGTAAACAACAGGGTGAGAATGTGGTAAAATCTGAAAACGTGGTAAAAATCAGGCCAGGGCTTTTGTTTTTCTGGACTGATTTTGAAACTATCGGTTGGGTTTAGGGAAGGCGTCGCTGGTCAATCGGTGCTTTTGAAAACACTATTGGTTGGGTTTAGGGAAGAAGGAGGGTGGGTTAGTCAATCAGTCAGTCAGTCAGTCAACAGCGGCCTCTGGTGTATTTACATGAGAACAGCAGGCAAGAATGGCACTCGTAAGAGAAATTTGAGATCTCAAAAAGTGTACACAGCGGCCTCTGGTGGATTCACGAAAACAAAAACTTGCAAAAAAAGAAAAAAAAAAAAAAAAAAAAGAAAACATAGCTCCTGGGACATATTTGGCGCTCTCCAGAAATGTATACAGGGATACATTTTCAGATTAAGCCTGGGTTAAAAAATACAACAGATCTGTTTCATTAGGTTATATCTTACTTTATTATCTTATTGTTACATTTATTTATGTATCTATTTATTAATTTATACCTTTTTATGCATTTATTTATTTTAAATTTGGTCTTTTGTACACTTGAAGTGTATGCAGGAGGGATATAAACACACACTGGAGCATCTGAGCGTAATGTATCGTGTATTTTGAAAGCACAGGCATCTTTGAACAGACTTTGGAAAAATATCATCATCAACAATTAAACGCAAATGAAATCTTCTCTTGCATTGGATCTGCTTGTGGAAAGACGCCGCTACATTTCCAAGCCGCTACAGTTCAGTCTGTAAGGTTTAAAACTGAATTTGTCATGATAAAAAAGGAGCGTCAGAGTGTTTAGGCAGCGCAGCGTTTATTTGGAGCTCAGTTTGTGTCCAAACTCCTTAATGGTGTCTGATGCTTTCCCTGCAGCTGTGCCTATAGCAGACTGTGTTTGTCTGGATGCCTCCTCAGCAGCTGCTTGTGCACACAAACACACAGAAAGAGAGGGAGAGAAATAGAGTTCCTTCAGTGTTGCATTTGCATATTCTTTACAGTGCAACATACAAATACTTTAATTTAGACTGAGACTACAATATAATCAAATTTAGATTGCAATGCATAGCAAAATTACATAGTCGATTGCATGCAAAAAATAGACTGTATACCAACATTAAATAAAAGATTTACCACATTAAATAAAAGAATACCCAATTGCATTACATCTTAAAATTAGACAAAAATTGCATGCAAAACTTTTGTTTGCATACTAAAATAACAAAAGACTGTACTTAAAAAAACGAGTGTGCATACTAGAATTACACAATAGATTGCATGCAAAATCTTAGATTGTATAACAAAATTACACAAAAGATTGCACACTAAGTTTTAGATTGCATACCAAACTTACACAATAGACTGTATAAAAATATGTGCGTGCATATCAAAATTATGCAATAGATTGAATGCAAAAGATTGCATGTGATATATTAGCTTGCTTAACAAAATTACACAATAAATTAGATGCAAAATTTTAGCTTTTGTACTAAAATGACACAATAGTTTGAAAATTATACAAATTGCATGCAAAATTTAAAACCGCATACTAAAATTACACAAAAATTGCATACAAAAATGTTGATTGTATCCCAAAATTACACAAAAGATTGTATAAAAACCCCAATTAGTTAGCATGCTAAAACTACACAATAGATTGCATGCAGGAATTTAGTTTGCATACTAAAAGTACACAATAGACTGTATGCAGGAATTTAGTTTGCATACTAAAACTACACAATAGACTGCATGCAGGAATTTAGTTTGCATACTAAAACTACACAATAGACTGCATGCAGGAATTTAGTTTGCATACTAAAACTACACAATAGATTGAATGCAGGAATTCAGTTTGCATACTAAAATAACAAAAGATTGTGTTTAAAAAAATGAGCATGCATACCAAATAACACAAGATTAAATACAAAAATCTAGATTGTAAAAGAAACTTACACAATAGATTGCATTGATAAATGTGCTTGCATAAATAAAAAAATTATGTTATAGATTAAATGCATAAATTTAGTTTGTATCTACAAATTTCACAAAAGACTGCATGCAAAAATATTGATTGTATACCAAAATTACATAATAGATTCCATGCCAAAATTTTGATTATATACCAAAATGACAAAAAATTGTGTTAAAAAAATCTGTTTACATACCAAAATTACAAAATGAGTGAATGCAAAAATTTACATTGCATATCAAAATGTCACAATTTTGCATGCATAAAAATGAGCTTGCATAACAAAATTACACAGAAGATTGTATTCATTTTGTTTTTCTTGCATAGCAAACTTACACATTAGATTGTATTAAAAAACGTGCTGGCATACCAAATTTATGCAATAAATTGATTTAGTTTGCATACAGAGATTTCACAAAAGACTGCATGCAAAAATTTTAATTGTATACCAAAATTACACAAAAGATTGTATAAAAACCCCAATTAGTTGTCATACTAAAACTACACAATAGATTGAATTCAGGAATTTAATTTGCATACTAAAACAAAAGATTGTTTAAAAAAAATTTAGCATGCATACCAAAATAACACAATAGATTAAATGCAAAAATTTAGATTGTAAACCAATCTTACACAATAGATTGCATTGATAAATGTGCTTGCATACCAAAAAATAATGTAATAGATTAAATGCATAAATTCAGTTTGTATCTACAAATTTCACAAAAGACTGCGTGCAAAAATATTGATTGTATACCAAAATTACACAATAGATTCCATGCCAAAATTTAGATTACATACCAAAATTATACAAAAAATTGTGTTAAAAAAATCTGTGTGCATACCAAAATTACAAAATGTGCAAATGCAAAAATTTACATTGCATACCAAAATGTCACAATATTGCATGCATAAAAATGAGCTTGCATAACTTGCTTTTTTTTTTGCTTGCATACCAAACTTACACATTAGATGTATTAAAAAAATGTGCCTGCGTACCAAAATTATGCAATAGATTGAATGCAGAAATTTAGATTGCATTTGGAGATTTCACAAAAGACTGCATGCAAAAATATTGATTGTATACCAAAATTACATCATAAATTACGTGCAAAATTTTAGCTTGCATACCAAAATTACACAGTAAATTTCCTGAAAAAATTTTGAAAGCATACCCAAATTACAAAATAGATTGCATTAAAAACTGTGCTTGCATGCCAAAATTATGCAGTAGATTGAATGGATAATTTTTAATTTGCATGTGAAAATTTCACAAAAGACTGCATGCAAAAATGTGGATTGTATCAAAATGACACAATAAGTTGCATGACAAAATATAGATTGTATATCAAAATGACACAAAAGATTGCATGCACAAAAATAGATTTTCAGCAAAAAGAAAAAAAAGAAAAATTATAATAAATAAATGCTCACTGTGATTGGAGATGATTTGTATGAACTGAGCTGCTATATGATGCACATCCACACTTAAGAGCATCTTAATCTCTGTAGAGATCGTATATCTCAGAATAAGCGTCTCTCACCTGTGCTGGTGGCTTCTTTGGAAGATTCTGCCACCTGCTGCACGGCATCTTGAGCTGCTTGAACTGAAACAATATTATCAGACATGCTGGAAGTTTTGCACACACCAACCAAGGTCTTTAAAAAACAGTGCTCGCATATTACATCAATGCATGACAAAATGCACTAATTAAGTAAGTAGATGAAAGAAAGCCAGAAAGAAAATGTATTTTGAGTCACATTTAAACAAATAATTGAGGTGTTTCCAGGTCTAAAATTAGTTTAATTCATTGCTAAAGCAAACACATTTTCTCTTTGGTTATATTGCATTGTTTAAAGTAGGGCCCAAGGGCTAAAGTTGGCCCATGGTAACCTTTGGTTTGGCCCGCCTATCCATCTGAAAAGTGAGAGAGAATGATGGAGAGGTGCTTGGGGCAAAATAAACAGGATTGTTTATGTTTTTACTCTAATAATTTCATTATAAAAAATAAAATGATACTTCATCATTAATTAATTAGGAAATTATCCTTGGTAAATTTGAATGTAATACAGTTTGGTATATTCAATCAAGTTTGTTTTTGGCCCTTTATGAGAAAAAGTTTGGGCACCCCTGGATCAAAGGAATTTTTAAGTAAAGTTTTAAAAAATGTTGTTTTGTTTTACTTAAATATTTTAGGATTTATAAATATTAAAATAATGTAAATTTTATTAGGATAATTTTAAAATAAATTCAGTAATTAGATGCATGTAATTAAATAGTTTATAATTAATTCACAATTTCCTGTATATTTTTATTTAATCAAAGACTAAATTGCTTACAAAACCGATAGATGAAATCTGATTGATAAAGATTTGTTTTTTGTTGGCAAAATAGACTAATTAATCAACTAAATAAAAGAAAACAAGAAAGAAAATGTACTACGTATCACATTTAAACAAATTATTGAGCTGTTTTTAGGTCTACACTGTAAAAAAATGATGTAAACAATCAGTCATGACTCATGACAGCATATGTTTTAGTTTGTTGTAACTTATTAAGCTAAGTTAATCATGTTATGACTTAATATTATGAGTTATGCAAGCATTTTAAGTCAGTTTAACAAAATATACGTTCAATGGACTGATAAGGTTAATTTGATTCAGCTTAAAAGATTAAGGCAACCAGGATTGTTTTACATTGCAGAATTAGTTAAATTCATTGCTAAAGCAAACACATTTTCTCCTCGATTATATTGCATTGATTATGCAATTTTTGCTTTGTTTTATTGAAATATTTTAGTATTTATAAAATAGAAAATAATGTAAATTTTATTAGGATAATTTTAAAATAAATTCAGTAATTAGATGCATGTAATTAAATAGTTTATAATTAATTCACAATTTCCTGTATATTTTTATTTAATCAAAGACTAAATTGCTTACAAAACCGATATATGAAATCTGATTGATAAAGATTTGTTTTTTGTTGGCAAAATAGACTAATTAATCAACTAAATAAAAGAAAACAAGAAAGAAAATGTACTATTTATCACATTTAAACAAATTATTGAGTTGTTTTTAGGTCTACACTGTAAAAAATGATGTAAACAATCAGTCATGACTCATGACAGCATATGTTTTAGTTTGTTGTAACTTATTAAGCTAAGTTAATCATGTTATGTCTTAATTTTATAAGTTATGCAAGCATTTTAAGTCAGTTTAACAAAAAATACGTTCAATGGACTGATAAGGTTAATTTGATTCAGCTTAAAAGATTAAGGCAACCAGGATTGTTTTACATTGCAGAATTAGTTAAATTCATTGCTAAAGCAAACACATTTTCTCCTCGATTATTTTGCATTGATTATGCAATATTTGCTTTGTTTTATTGAAATATTTTAGCATTTATAAAATTGAAAATAATGTAAATTTTATTAGGGTCATTTTAAAATAAATTCAGTAATTAGATACATGCAATTAAATAATTTACAATTAATTCACAATTTACTGTATATTTTATTTAATCAAAGACTAAATTGCTTACAAAACTGATATATGAAATCTGAAAGATATGAAACTAAAGATTTGCTTTTTTTTTTGGCAAAATAGACTAATTAATGACCTAAATAAAAGAAAACAAGAAAGAAAATGTACTATTTATCACATTTAAACAAATTATTGAGCTATTTTTAGGTCTACACTGTAAAAAATGATGTAAACAATCAGTCATGACTCATGACAGCATATTTTTTAGTTTGTTGTAACTTATTAAACTAAGTTAATCATGTTATGACTTAATTTTATAAGTTATGCAAGCATTTTAAAGTCAGTTTAACATAATATACGTTCAATGGACTCATAAGGTTAATATGATTCAGCTTAAAAGCAAACACATTTTCCTCTTGATTATATTGCACTGATTATACAATTTTTGGTTTACTTATATATTTTATTATTTAAAAAATTACGTATAATGTACATTTTATTTCGGTCATTTTAAAATTAAAATACAGTAATTAGATACATGCAATTAAATATTTTACAATTAATTCACAGTTTACTGTATATTCTTATTTAATCAAAGACTAAATTCTTCACATAGCTGATGTATGAAATCTGAAAGATATGAAACTAATTAATGAAGTAAATAAAATAAAGCAAGAAAGAAACTTTTATCTCATATTTAATCAAATATTTAGCTGTTTTTAACTTTAAAACTAGTCCAATTCATTCATTTTCCTGTGGCTTAGCCCCTTTATTCATCAGGAGTCGCCACAGTGGGATGAACTACCAATTATTCCGGCAAATGTTTTACACAGCGGATGCCCTTCCAGCTGCAACCCAGTCTTGAGGAATATTCACACACACACTCATACACTATACGACAAATTTAGTTCATCAATTCCCCTATAGCGCATGTGTTTGGACTGTGGGGGAAACCGGAGCACCCGGAGGAAACCCACACCAACACGAGGAGAACATGCAAACTCCACACAGAAATGCCAACTGGCCCAGCTGTGACTTAAACAACAACCTTCTGGCTGTGCTAACCACCGAGCCACCACATATTATATTATATTTTATTATATTTTATGATTTTGAATGATATTTTATTATATTATATTTTATTAATCCCAGAGATGGGTTGCAGCTGGAAGGGCATCCGCTGCGTAAAAACATACTGGATAAGTTGGCGTTTCAACCCCTGATTAATAAAGGGACTAGGTTGACAAGAAAATGAAGGATCATTTGTTAATAAAATAATTTTATATTATGCTTTATTTTATTACATTTTATTAAAATTATTTTATATTTTTTATATTTTATTATATTGTATTATAAATTTATATTTGAAATTGTATTATTTATTATATAAAATTTTATTAAATATTTTATATTATGCTTTAATTTATTTTATTATGTTTTTAATATTTTTAAATATTTTATTATATCATATTTTACTAAATTATTGTATATTTTATTATATTAGATTTTATTAAATCATTTATATTATATTATATTTTATTAAATTATTATAAATTTTATATTACTATATTAGATTTTATTAAATAATTTCATATTATATTATATTTTATTTAATTATTTTAAATTATATTTTATTATATTATATTTTATTAAATTATTTTACATTTATTATATTTCAGTATATTATATTTTATTAAATCATTTACATTATACTATATTTTATTAAATTATTTTAAATTATATTTTATTACAATATATTATATTTTATTAAACTATTTTATATTATATTTTATTATGTTATATTTTAATATATTATATTTTATTAAATTATTTTATATTATATTATATTTTATTATGTTATATTTTAATATATTATATTTTATTAAATTATTTTATATTACATTACATTTTATTATATTATAATAATTCATTGCACTAAAAGTAAATATATTTCCTCCATTGCTATATTGCACACTGTATGTACTGCTATCGACATTTTAAAGTCTCGTAAAAACATGTGTACAATATTTTTGACATTTATTATAACGTATAACAACAACAGCTTCATTTAATCATTTAAAAATATACAAAACCAAAGAACTACAATGCAAAAAACGATTCATTACATTTACTAAAGATTTTTAAGGCAACTGGCTGCAATCAGTTTTTATGGGCTAAATTTAAACAACAATTTAGTTAAACATCACTACATTTATTTTCTTTAAACTCAGCCCATATGAATTATTTTCAAACGGTTACCTTAAAAAAAAATATGTACACATGGCTATTTGTAAAGAATACTATCAGATGCATGCAGTAAATGAAGTGTGCATGATCAGTGTGTGTCCACGAGTACCTGCTGAGTCCGTGACGCCTTTAGTGGCCGACTGTGAGCTGTTCTTCAGCCCCTCCAGAGACTTCTTAAAGGAAGCCATGATACTGAGCACATGCACTCAGAGTCCTAGCGGTGTGGCGTAAGAGAGAAGCGTCCAGCAGGACTCTTAAATACCCTCTGCTCCCCGCGGGCACCACATTCCCCTGTGCCTGCTCATGCTAATCCATTAATGGTGCCCGGCTTACGCAGGTATGTTAGCTATTCATCCGTTCCAGGCAGCGCAATGATTCTGCTGTAATCAGCATGTCTGTCGAGCACAGGATCTGATCTGGAGACACACATCCTGAGGGAAAGAGGACGACATGCCAAAAGATGAAGTGCTACTCATGCCTTTGTGTTTGAGCTTCAGTGAAGTGTGCAGTGAAGCTGTTTGTCAGATCAGAGTTAGTGCTTCGCTGTATGAAGAAGTGGTCTGGACAGCCTTAAACAAGTTGTCTGTTATTTTAGTTCAACATTTGACAAAAACAGTTGTGTTATACCAGTCTATAATGTTCATTGAATGCTTGAACAGTGTCTGTAATCCTCAAATAACTGGAAGTTTGGTTTGTGTCTCGACCTCTGTTTTCTGCTGCCAAAGTAAAACAACTTACAGCACTTCCTAAACATACAGAAATGATGCAGTAAAACTGAACAATCAGAGCAGAGAAGCAACATCTGTCTAATCACTGCAGAGTCATCTGACCAATCACAAAAGAGTAGAGCCATCTCCCATCCATTGTGCCATTTGACCAATCAGAGCAAAGTAGAAACATGTGCCCAATTAGAGCAGAATAGAGCAACCTGACTCAGAATTAAAGCAAGCAATCTAACCAATCAGAGCAGTGTAGAATCCTCTGGCCATTCAGAGGAGTGTAGAACGCTCTGACCAATCACAGCAGTGTAGAACCCTCTGACCAATCACAACAGTGTAGAACCCTCTGACCAATCACAACAGTGTAGAACCCTCTGACCAATCACAGCAGTGTAGAACCCTCTGGGCAATCAGAGCAGTGTAGAGCAATCAGGCCAATCAGTGAAGAATCTGACCAATCAGAGGTGTGTAGAAGCCTCTGACCAATAAGAGCCGTGTAGAACCCTCTGGCCATTCAGAGCAGTTTAGAACCCTCTGGCCATTCAGAGCAGTGTAGAGCCATCTAGCCAATCAGTGAATAATCTGACCAATTAAGAGTCATGTAGAAGCCTCTGACCAATAAGAGCCGTGTAGAACCCTCTGGCCATTCAGAGCAGTGCAGAATCCTCTGACCAATCAGAGCAGTGTAGAACCCTCTGGCCATTCAGAGCAGTGTAGAATCCTCTGACCAATCAGAGCAGTGTAGAACCCTCTGGCCAATCAGTGAAGAATTTGACCAATCAGAGCCATGTAAAACCCTCTGGGCATTCAGTGCAGTGTAGCGCCATCTGGCCAATCAGTGAAGAATCTGACAAATTAAAGCCGTGTAGAAGCCTCTGACCAATAAGAGCCGTGAAGAACCCTCTAGCCATTCAGAGCAGTGTAGAGCCCTCTAGCCAATCAGTGAATAATCTGACTAATTAGAGTCATGTAGAAGTCTCTGACCAATCAGAGCAGTGTAGAACCCTCTGACCAATCAGAGCAGTGTAGAACCCTCTGGCCATTCAGAGCAGTGTAGAATCCTCTGACCAATCGGAGCTGTGTAGAACCCTCTGGGCATTCCGAACAGTGTAAAGGCCTATGACCAATCAGAATAGAACTATCTGACAGAGTAAAACCATCAGACCAATCAGAGCAGAATGATCTGACCTAATAGAGCAGTGTAAAATCCTCAGACCAATCAGAGCAGAATATAATTATCTGACCAATCAGTGCAGGATATAAATATCTGACCAATCAGAGCAGAGTAAAACCATCTGACAAATCAGTGCATTTTATTTATCTGACCAATCAGAGCATAGTAAAACCATCTTACCAATTAAAGCTGAATATAATTGTATGACCAATTAGAGCAGTTCAGAGCCATTTGACCAATCAGAGCAGATTCATCTGACCCAGGGGTCACCAACCTTTTGGAAACTGAGAGCTACTTCTTGGGTACCGATTAGTGTACACATTTTTCTTAATTTACTTTTAATTATATGTTATTATTAATAAATAATAATATTCATCTATGTGAAGACATTGATCATGTTAATGATTTCTCACAGTAGTTGTCAACAATGATTTACAAGTTAGATAAACATAAATATGCAACACTTCATTTGTCTGAAAATGTTTTTAAAGTTTTTATTAAATATATAACTTAAAGTAATTTTCAAATTTACAAAAATTCAAGTATGATTTAAAAATACCTAAAAAAAATTTTAGATGCAGCTTACTCATATGTGGTACTATGGTAAGCTATTTTTAGAACAGGCCCGCGGGCAACTCATGTGAACCTGGTGGGCACCATGTTGGTGACCCCTGATCTGACCAATCAGAGCAGGGCAGTGTTTTGGAAAGGTGGCTTTAGAAAGACTTATTCTTAAAACAGTCATTTCAGACACTATGAGATTTATCTGATCCTGCAGTGGAGAAAAACTAATGGTGTTTTTGCACTGTAGGATGTAGGATACCAATAAAAATGAAGTTAGAAACACTTAAAATAGCATAACAGGATAAAGGGTTGACTTTTTGCATCAAACTGTGTAAGAATAATCCAGTGCCAGCCAGGTAATGTGTTACACTCACCGGCCACTTTATTAGGTACACCTTACTGATCCCGGGTTGGACCCCCTTTTGCCTTCGGAACTGCCTTAATCCTTCATGGCATAGATTCAACGCGGTATCTTGTTGCACCACCACCACCAGCCTGAACCGGTGATGCAGGACAGGATGGATTCATGCTTTCATGTTGTTGATGCCAAATCAAACAGACCAGGCAACATTTCTCCAATATACGAATGTCCAGTTTTGGTGAATTGTAGCCTCAGTTTCCTGTTCTTAGCAGACAGGAGCGGCACCCGGTGTGCTCTTCTGCTGCTGTAGCCCATCCGCCTCAAGGTTGGACGTGTTGTGTGTTCAGAGATGCTCTTCTGCAGACCTCGGTTGTATCGAGTGCTTATTTGAGTTACTGTCGCCTTTCTTTCAGCTGGACCCAGTCTGGCCATTCTCCTCTGACCTCTGGTATCAACAAGGCCTTTGCGCTCACAGAACTGCCGCTCGCTGGATATTTCCTCTTTATCAGACCATTCTCTGTAAACCCTGGAGATGGCTGTGCATGAAAATCCCAGTAGATCAGCAGTTTCTGAAATACTCAGATCAGCCCGTCTGGCACCAACAACCATGCCACGTTCAAAGTCACTTAAATCCCCTTTCTTCCCCATTCTTGAACTGCAGCAGATCATCTTGACCTAAATGAGTTGCTGCCATGTGATTGGAAAATTGTGTTAAGCAGATGGACATGTGTACCTAATAAAGTGGCCGGTTAGTACATTTAACAACAAAAATGTAAAATTAGACAGAACGTAAAAAGAAAACACCAGTACAACGTTTTGTTTTGTTTGTTTCTTTATTTACAGAGAGGATTCGCTTGTCCTGAATGACACAGAAACCTTTAATATTGACATTTCCAGCATTGTAAAGCACATATTGACCTGACGTCCATAAACACCTCAAGACACATTTACACTAAAATCTCCAGTACACAAACGCATACATACACACACACGCGCACACACACACACAGAGATACAAACTGGCCAATTCTAACAAATAACCCACTGGAATGATATCACAAGCAACTATAAAGTCACGACGTATAAAACTCTTACTTCAAAAAACATGAAATAAACAACTCGCGTCAATATTAAATTAAAAAAAGAAAGTCAAATCCCACAAACAGGCATTGCACACAGCTATATTTATAGATAATATCATATTTACCCGAAGATATTCGAATCCCCAATATGCCATTGGAGGATATGAAACATCTATTACACATATAGAAATGCAGGTTCACGAGTACAAAGATTCACGATGGAGAACGGGTCTCGTTTCATTGGGAGGGATTCAAGGAAACGAGACGGAGAGTCCTCCGGCAGTTAGCATAGCGCTACATCCAACACGTTACCGTCAGAACATGACATTTACAATAGATCATCATAAAAGTAGATATCTGATAGGAAGAACATTTCTCGGCAGGATTAACTGGAATATAGATTTACGTTTTTTGGATTTTTTTCACCTTTTTTTTGTTTTTTTTGCAACAGGTTTTTATTGTGTTTAGGATTTGTACTTGGTATTGATATAAACTTTTTGTGCTGCTGGCTGGATTTGGGCTTGGAATGTGACGCTTTTACGCCTCGGGCTCATAATCCTGGCTCTCCTGAAACAGAAGAGAAAATACAGATGATAAAATATTAGTTACATTCAGAAGGAGAGAGATATTTTACATTTGACTTTGTTTTCTATTATAAAAAAAAGCACAATAAACAAACCGCCATCTTAGAATTATAAAGTTCTATCTGACAATTTTGTCAAATTTGAGTTATTCACTTATACTTATTACGGTTTTTCTCAGTGGCTTTGGTGCATTTTTCACAACACTCCTTACATTAGACCATTTACATTAGTACAAACTGCAAAACCTAGTTGATAACCAGCAAAAGCGTGTCACTAGCTCAAAATGGAGAGCTCATTCCTCAAAAGCTAATGTTATTAATGTCAATGACAGTGTTAGTGTCATCAAGATGAAAAGTCCTGACACCATTGTTTATGAACAAGAGAGTGGCTGTCCTGTTTTATTATTACAGTTTACTTTGTAAACTTTTTCCAATGCAGAAAGTCAGATTTTGGTGACACTTCCTGAAAATGCTCAAGACAGCACTATATACTAATAGCACAGCCATTTTAACACTACAGTAAAGTCAGACATAGAATGATGGATGGAGGGATGGATAGAGAGAGATGGATGGATGGATGGATGGATGGACGGATGGATGGATAGATGGATGATGGATAGATGGATGGATAGATAGATAGATAGATAGATAGATAGATAGATAGATAGATAGATAGATAGATAGATAGATAGATAGATAGATAGATAGATAGACAGACAATCAGACAGACGGACGGACGGACGGACGGACAGATGATGGATGGATGGATGGATGGATGGATGGATGGATGGATGGATGGATGGATGGATGGATGGATGGATGGATGGATGGATGGATGGATGGATGGATGGATGGATGGATGGATGGATGGATAGATAGATAGATAGATGGATAGATGGATAGATACATAGATATATAGATGGGTGGATGGATGGATGGATGGATGGATGGATGGATGGATGGATGGATGGATGGATGGATGGATGGATGGATGGATAGATAGATAGATACATAGATAGATGGATGGATGGATGGATGGATGGATGGATGGATGGATGGATGGATGGATGGATGGATGGATGGATGATGGATGGATGGATAGATAGATGGATAGATGGATGGATAGATAGATAGATAGATGGATGGATGGATGGATGGAGAAAAAAAATTGTATTTTGGCAATACAATACAGTTATCTATTACAAAAATAAATCGATTTACATGATTGCATGTTCCTCATTAAATATATGTAATAAAATTATATATATTATAAGTAACAAATACATAATTAAACAACAGATATATAAAACTGACAGAAAGACTGTAAAGACCTTTTTAGACTAAACAAAAGCCAAAAATCATCCAAGAAAATTTCCAGCAGTGTTATTTCACTATCATTTAACAAATATTGTAGTTTTCATTAACAAATTGAATTTGCCTTTAAGTTTAATAAAGCTATTTCTGTTTAAATATTAGTTTAAATAATAGGACTGGAATTATAAAAGATATTTAATAATATAATTGGGTTGTGTGATTTAATCAGCTTTTATTTGAAATATGTTTATATAGAGAGTTTCAGTGGTGTAAATGAGAAACATTCTACCAGAAACAAGACGAGTTCAGTTGATGTTTATAGTAATTCAAGTAAAAACTAATTTAATTTTAGATTTAGTTAACTATAACACAATTTAAACATTCTCTACACACACTATGCAACACATGTTTATATTTTTCAAGTTGTTTTAATTGATTGCCTCATTTGCTTTTCTTATTTTCTGGAATTACACTGAACCCAAACAGAAATAACACACTAGACTATAAAATCAGCATTTCTCAATCACGTCTAACCTCAAGATCAAGGTTATTTTAGCAAAACAAAACTAAAACTATTTTTAAAAATTATGTATTATAGTATTTTACATTATGTTATGTTATATTTTTAACTACTTCCCTTATTTTTCTTTATTGCATCTGATTATATGATATACATATCTGCTGCAGTTCCTAGTTCCTCCAGCAGGCGGCAGATGAAGCTTCACATCAGAAGCCTAAATAACATAACAGCTAATGCTAACTCTATAGCAGTAGGCATTGAAGGAGACTGAAAGCCAGGATTCGATTGGCCAAGACATGCTTCACGTGAATAATTTAGCATTACAGGTTTTCCAATGACAAGTAATACAGGCATTACATTTCATAGTAATAAAATCTCTGACATCTGATGACTTTAATGGATTTTTTTTGATGATCTACATGTTAATTATTCTCTGCTTTTCTGTGTAAATGAGAATCATCTGGAAGGAGAGATCATCTCCTTTACAGGTCATCACAGGAGAGTACATCATTACCCACAATGCACCGGTGTGCTTAACGTCAGCAGAATGACTGAGCATAATGAGGAGGAGCAGAGAACACACATGCACACGCACACGCACACAGGGAATCCCACCATATCCAAGTGTCCAGAACACATACCAGAAAAAAAACAACACAACAATAATATAAAACCCCAAGGTGTGCTTATAAATAAGGTAAAATATTAATTGAAAATAAAAAAATGGGTTCATTAATTCTGCATTTTACGTGAATTAAAATCCTTACTATACTTCGGCTAAGTCGCCGATTTATTAGCTAGCACACAATTTTTAACATTGTACATATTTTCAATGCAAAATGCACAGAATATTTATCTGAACAACACGTCTGAATAATGTAAGCTCACAAAAGCAAACATTCATTATATTTTATTTTCAGCTTAATCCCTTTATTAATTAGGGGTCACCACAGCGGAATGAACCGGAATGAACTATCCTTCAGCTTAGTTGCTGATTAATCAAGGGTCGCCACAGCAGAATGAACCGGCAACTACTCTGGCATAAGTGTTTTTATGCAGCAGACACCTATTTTAGCTGCAGGTTTAAAAGATTGATTTAACTTTAAAATTTGTGTATTCGTGTAAAACTGTATTTTTTGTTTGACAATAATAAAATTGGATTAAAAAATCTAATAAAATCTAATATATTGTGTTATATTTTATTTAATACTTCCCACATTGTGTATATTTATTAAATTAATTAACACATTTTTTTGGGTAAATTAAAGAGTTGTCATTTACCGATATTAAAAAATACATTAACAACAACAATAATATTAAATTTTGTTATCTAAACGGGCGATGCAGAGGCGCATGCTGTAGTGCTGTCGCCTCACAGCAAGAAGGTCGCTGGTTCGATCCTCGGCTCAGTTAGCGTTTCTGTGTGGAGTTTGCATGTTCTCCCTGCGTTCGCGTGGGTTTCCTCTGGGTGCTTTGGTTTCCCCCACAGTCCAAACACATGTGGTACAGTGAATTAGGTAGGTTAAATTGTCCGTAGTGTATGAGTGCGTGTGTGAATGTGTGTGTGGATGTTTCCCAGAGATGGGTTGCGGCTGGAAGGGCATCCGCTGCGTAAAAATGTGCTGGATAAGTTGGCGGTTCATTCCGTTGTGGTGACCCCGAATTAATAAAGGGACTAAGTCGACAAGAATATGAATGAATGAACGTTATCTAAAACTTCACATACTACAGTTTACCAGCATGTAAAATCAATTGATATGGAAAATTTGTTATAATTTTTAAAAATGTAATTTTGATTTTGATCTCATATGCTTGATGTCACTTACAACAACAAGTTTATTCAGTATATATTTAGTATATTTACATAAACCTTTGTTGCATATATTAATATATATGTAACGGAGGCCAGCCAGTAGGGGCTGTGCAGGTAAACCTCACTCCTCTGACCTCTAAAGGTGCTCTAGCGACAGACGCTAGAGGCCATGGTCTTTAGCCTCCTTGATAGAGCAACCGACTCCCATGTGGAAGGTAGTCGGTTCGATCCCAACTCGGAGCGGGTTGGGCGGTGTAGGACCGGTGGGGTTACATTGGTGCCGTGACCCGGATGGGAGTGAGGTTTAGGGGGTGATTGTAACGGAGGCCAGCCAGTAGGGGCTGTGCAGGTAAACCTCACTCCTCTGACCTCTAAAGGTGCTCTAGCGACAGACACTAGAGGCCATGGTCTTTAGCCTCCTTGTTAGAGCAACCGACTCCCATGCAGAAGGTCGCCTATATTACATATATATATAAATATATGAGTGTGTATATATACATATACAATGCTTTTCATCAGTTTAATTATATATAAATAAAATAAAATATAAACCTAACATAAAATTGTAATGTATATATTGTAATATATAAATATATATATATATATAAAGTCAGAATTATTTGCCCCCCTTTTAATTTTCTTTCTTTTTTAAATATTTTCCAAATGATGTTTAACAGAGCACGGAAATTTTTAAATTCTGGAGAAAGTCTTATTTGTTTTATTTCGGTTAGAATAAAAGCAGTTTTTAATTTCATAAACACAATTTTTAGGTGAATGTTATTAGCCCCTTTAAGCTATTTATTTTCTCGATAGTCTACAGAACAAACCATCGCAATACAATAACTTGCCTAATTACCCTAACCTGCCTAGCTAACCTAATTAACCTAGTTAAGCCTTTAAATGTCACTTTAAGCTGTATAGAAGTGTCTTGAAGAATATCTAGTCAAATACTATTTACTGTCATCATGGCAAAGATAAAATAAATCAGTTATTAGAGACTAGTTATAAAAACTATTATGATTAGAAATGTGTTGATGAAATCTTCAAGCCGTTAAACAGAAATTGGGGGGAAAAATGAACATAGCTAATAATTCTGACTTCAACTGTATATATGAATGTTGATTTATTTAATTTATTTATTTGTGTTTATTATGTGTGTGCGTGTGTTTTGTGTGTTGTTTGGACCTGCTGGTTGTCGTCGTATGTCTGTCCTTCAGGGTCCATCAGACCTTCTCCCGGCTCCTCAGTGGCTTCCTGACCGAACTCCGGCTGTAAAAACACACAACAAACACCTTCAAGACACAACACACAACTTTAAGACACAGCAAACATACACTGACCTCTTGTACCATATACAATACACCGCTGATGTGCTTTCCAATGCATCTGCTACATTAATAGTCAAAATTAATCGCCCTCCTGTAAAGTTTTTTCTTTTTCAAATATTTTCCAAATGATGTTAAACAGATTCAGAAATTTTCAGAGTATTTCCTATAATATTTTTTCTCAATAGGTCAATATTATTAGCCCCCTTAAGCAATATTTGTTTTAGATTGTCTCCAGAACAAACCACTGTTATACAATGACTTGCCTAATTACCCTAACTTTACCCTAATTAACCTAGTTAAGCCTTTAAATGTCACTTTAAGCTGAATACTAGTGTCTTGAAGGATATGTAGTCAGATATTATGTGCTGTCATCATGACAAAGATAAAACAAATCAGTTATTAATACAAAATAATTGACTTTATAACTGACTTCAACTTTATAATACAGGACCATGTATTATGTGTTACATCTTTATATGCATAATAAATGTTTGATCAAACTCCCTTTGAGAGAGAGAGAGAGAGAGAGAGAGAGAGAGAGAGAGAGAGAGAGAGAGAGAGAGAGAGAGAGAGAGAGACTCATTACCTACATACAGTAGATATATATTCTGTACAGTTCTGGGTCAGTGGATGGTCTATTTTTATCCCAGTAATCAGAGTTAATTGGGTCATATTTCAGACATCTCCTGATCTAATAATTTACTGTCAAAGCCTTCACGTCCATCACTCTGACATCAGAGGACCAGACTCCTTTTAGTCCTTCATTCAGATCAGATTACTGCTCAGCTCTAAAGAAATCAAGCTTTTAATACTAGAGACAGCTCTAACATGTCAGACCATCACTGAAGAAAAAACAAATCAATACCCTGCTGAAAATCCAGATTAGTTTGGCTGGTTTTAGCTGGTTGACCAACCTGGTTTTAGAGGGGTTGGCCATTTCCAGGCTGGAAATGGCTGGAAACCAGCCTGGAAGTGGCCAAAACCCCTCTAAAACCAGCCTGGTCGACCAGCTAAAACCAGCCAACCAGCTTAGGCTGGTTTAAGCTGGATTTTTCAGCAGGGTATATACACTGAAAAATATTAAATACTGATAAAAAATATATATAGAAGAGTGGGCGGCACGGTGGCTCAGTTGTTAGCACTGTGGCCTCACAGGTCGCCAGTTCGAGTCCTGGCTGGGCCAGTAGGTGTAGAGTTTGCATGTTCTCCCAGTGTTGGTTTCCTCCGAACTAAATTGGTAACTTTGTATGAGTGTGTGTGAATGAGAGTGTATGGGTGTTTCCTAGTACTGGGTTGAGGCTGGAAAGGCATCCATTGTGCAAAACATATGCTGAAATGGTTGACGGTTCATTCCGCAGTGGTGACCCCTGATAAATAAGGGACTAAATCAAAGGAAATGGTTAATCATCTATCTATCCATCCATCCATCCATCCATATATATATATATATATATATATATATATATATATATATATATATATATATATATATATATATATATAGGTGGGCCGTTATAGGCATTAACATGCTACATTAACGCGAGACTCTTATCGGCCGATTAAAAAAAAATATCGCTGTTAATCTGTTCTCAAAGTTGTGTTGGGAGCTGGGTCTATTCTACGCAAGCTATGGTGACTTTCACCTTGATATTTTAGCACGGATATATACCTGACCGGTGAACCGTCTGACAAAAAAGTGCCCTTCTGGATCTTTCACTTACTTCGAAGACACTTCTGACTACGCTTACATGGACATCTGTAGTCTAGTTATTTGCCTTAATAGACAATAATATAATGAAGGTGTTTACGTGAAGTGCTTCCATGTAAGAGTTTCCTGTCATTTTGGGTGACTTTAATTGCAGTTCGGCAGTTTCACATTCACTCATGAACATTTCATGCATGCCCCCGTGACAAACTGGTATATATATGAGCAATATCACACCAGTAGCAGTGCGATATGGCTGTATATCGGCACTTATGGGAGAAGTGCGTGCCCCCACCAGTGCCGATATACAGCCATATTGCACTGCTACTTGTGTGATATTGCGTTTATACAACAGTTTGACGGCATAATTGTGTATATAAAAACTAAATCAAACATGGAGAGTCTCAAAAACCCTTTTGTATGAGGAACTACTTTCTTCCGCGTTGGATTCAAATCATAAGCTGACAGTTAAACAGCTGAGCAAGCATCTTTTAAACTTTAGGTCTGTAGTGTCTGCTTTTTTGCTGGCTGTATGTGGGCGGAGTAATACACAAAGGGTAAAGAGGCTATAGGAGTTCTGATATTGCAGAATATTGCACGGCTATCAGCCAATCAGATTTGAGAACCAGACAGAACTGTTGTATATATATATATATATATATATATATATATATATATATATATATATATATATATATATATATATTTATATCAGAGGTCACGTTAGACTTTGTCATTGTCCGTCATTTTGACGGAGAGGGTTGTAAAGATTCCGTCATAACCTATTATTGACAGTCAATTAATTTGCATATTTTCTAATCGCTTTTTTCATTTATATTTTAATAATGAACTTGCACGACGAGCATATAGGCTAAATTATTCATTTATTTATTTGACAAATGAACAATAACTCCTACCTGCCTTAACTCATATCTTCCTCCTGCGTCGACCTGAACTGGGTGCTTGCCTGTGCGTGATCAAACGCATCAAGAGAGACTGATGCAGAGTCAATTGTTATTCAATTCTGTGTCTTTGCCTTGAAAAAGTCGACTTCTCCTGACAGTTTTAAATTTGTTCTGGAGACTGAAGCCGCGTTCTGCTGCCACACTGGAGAGTCCTTGCCAGAAGTGGATATGGTTAACAGGAATCAGGCCAGTGCTTTACAGCCGCATCACGACGCATACTCGACCCGGATAACACTCGTCGATGCCGAGTCGGAACCGGAGGCGCCGAAGGGCAGCCAACTCGGCCCGATTAATACCTGCTATCCATGGTGATCCCAAACCACCTGACCTCCATGTTGTCGCTTGATTGGCCCGTAACAACAGCTGTCGGCGACTGAGGATATTTGTCTGTTTGTTCTTCATCGTCCACTGCATCACTTCCTTTTTTGTTCAACATTATTATTATTACTAAGGGTGTCACCCTTAAAATCTATAATTAATCTAAAATTTATGCTCAATTTCGATTATCGATTCAAAAAACGTAATCGTCAATGCTGCCACGCCCCCATGTCAGGTCAGCTTGGCTTGCCAAGGAAGCATTTTGGATTTCCAGTGAGTTATGATGACAACGTTCATGTTGTCGACAAAAAAAAACACACAGTTTTGCAAGCTCTGCTATGTACGTATTAGGGTTCGTCCGATAGACAACACCGGCATCGCGATCCTCCGCCCGCCCCCGTTGCAAATCCGCTCGCGAAAAGTACACACTCAGGCCCTGTTTACACAGTCTTTGTTTTTAAATGGCATTTTAGAACGACAACAATTTGACATCCACACTGGCGTGTAGCGTTTCTGAGCAGCCCTCCTTCCTCTCTACCTCTGAAAATGCACATCACGTGACCACACAGACACAGACGCACACACATTCATGCGCTCGAGACAGCGGGTCAAGGCAGTCAGAGGATCAATAGACTGCTTCAATCTTTCACTCACTTGTACTTAGTCATTTTAGCGAACACCTCAGATACTGTTGGCTGGTTCCTGTTGGTTGTGCGTCTTTTTTACCGACGCCATTATAACGACACAGATCACTGCCTATTCATGAGTCCCGCAGATAAGTGATTGACAGGTGGTAATTATGTGTGTATCTTGCCTTTATTCATTTACTGTATGATTTGTTTATGGGCAAAACAAAGACCATGCAGGTCAGGTAGTTTAAACGGTAGGCTACAAATAATTAATTTGTTATTAATTAATTAATTAATTATTCATAATCGAAAATCGAATCGAACCGTGACTTTAGAATCGACAACTATTTGGCCGTTTACAGAATCTTCTCACACTCATCTGCTGTGAGATTTTTGCAACTGTAAGCAGCGGTGACAGAGGAGACAAAACAAGGACAATCGCCATCAGCTGGACAGGAGTGGGAATTACAGTTAGCTAAATTAAAAAGGCTGACACAGAGCGTGTAACGTTTCGAGCCACCTGGCTCTTCATCAGACAGTGTTCATCACAATCAGGTGCTCCTTTTTATACACTTCCGGATCACATGATCTCCTCTCGCATATATGCCAACATATACATACATGCATATGTACACACACACACAATCGTTCATATATACACATACATATATATATATATATATATATATATATATATATGTACATATATATATATATATATATACACATGAATACATAAATACACATTCACATATAGTCTATAGCTTTGATATTTTAAATCAAATTACAAAAAAAAAAAAAAAAAAAATATATATATATATATATATATATATATATATATATATATATATATATATATATATATATATATATATATATATATATATAAATAAATAAATAAACTATAATATTACATCATAAATTATAATAAAGAAAAAAAAATAAACAAAAAAAAATATATATAAAATATAGCCAAGAAACCTTTAAACCAAACCCCTACTTAAACCTTCATTTATTCATTCAGTCATTCATTATTTATTATCTTTTCGGCTTAGTCTCTTTATTAGTCCGGGGCTACCGCAGCGGAATAAACCGCCAACTCATCCCGCACACTTCCACGCAGCGAACGCCCCTCCAGCCGCAACCCATCTCTGGGACACTAATTAAATAATAAAGACTTATTCAAAAAATATTACAGAAAAGGACGAATGTCAAACTCCTCATTAGAGGTGTTGCCGCTTTTGATTTACATTTAATTTGCACTTTTTGCGGTTTTGGCTGAGCACCCAATTAAGAGAGATGTGCGTGCTTTTGTACAGTTTTT